CATCATCGGGAAGAAAACACAGTGGGAGCCGCCTAAGCATCTCATTATCACATTTTAAGTACAAATTCATCAAAAGTACATGTTGCACAACTTACCTCTAATATATTTATCTTTATTCCCTAAATGTTTTCATGCATTCCTCATGGATGATAGTGATGTCAGGCTACCAAATCACTACAGTGCCACATTTGTTAAACAATATTACAATCCTTTTAAAATAGGTTTTACAGAGAGTTAGATGAGAAGATAATGATAACGCTCTCATTATCTGTCCATTCAATATAAAGCAGCCAGTTAACTTAGCTTAGCATAAAGAATGGAAACAGGGGGAAAGTAGCTACCCTTGCTCTTTCCAAAGGTAATAAAATCTGCCTACCATCACCTCTAAAGTTCAGTAATTAACAAGTTATCTCTTGTTTTGAACCAGACTATTTCTTGGTTAGGCGCAGTGACCTCCTGGTATCCAGTAAACCAGCAGAGAGTCCAGCTTCATACTGAACAGGCAGACATAGGAGTGGCATCACATTTTACTAGAACTGGATTTTGTGAGAAATGTAGAGAAAATCTCTTGAGACCAGGCCACACAAGATTAGTGTTTCACCCTGTTGTCATCAGCCTTTGCTTGTTTCATTTGTTTGAGTGCTCACCGGTGTCATGTTGTGTGGACAGACATTGAGCTGCTGGCGGCCTGCAGAGAGGAGTTCCACCGTCGCCTGAAGGTCTATCACGCGTGGAAGTCCAAGAACAAGAAGCGTAATGATGACGGAAGTGATCAGAGGGCTCCAAAGTCTGTCACTGACTATGGTTGGTAGAAAGATTATTTTAATTATTACTACATTTAATGCTTAACCTGTGGATATTTGCTCAGCTCTGTATATTCACAAATACAGCACAATAAAAATACTGTACACATCACCCCAAGCACATTAGGCTGCAGGTGACAAGTGTTTAGTCTCTCCACTTTCGCCCCTCGCTGTCATTGGCAGGAATTAATTACCTGCACGCACATAACCTCCCTGTGTTTCCTAACATTCAATTAGCCAACAAAACGCCAGGGCCTAAAAATGCAGCCGCCTTCTGTCTGGCTCTGTCAGAAATATTTGTTCTAATTAGCAAATAACTGCCAGCCATGCCTTGTGAGACTCAGTAGCTGCTAGTGTGACAGCTCGCTGCTTTGCTCAGTTCATTCTCAATCGAGCACAGGCTGTGCCACAAACAAACAAACACACACACACACACACACACACACACACACACACACACACACACACACACACAAATGTTATTTAGCTGCTGGAAAGATCACCAGTGCTCTGCTTTTCCCATCTTTTCATCTTGAAAACAAATATTACATTTGATGGGGAATGGGAGCATTAGATTCACTGTTGCTTCTACTTTCACTATATTTACTCGCCTTTCTCTTTTGATATGATAGTTCCTGAAAGCCATACTGGCTGTGCTTTGTTTGCCTTATATTTGGATCCTGTTCTTGGCCTGTACTGATGCAGCAGGGGTCTTATCTAGGCCATTTCATAAGAGGCTAAAAGCTGCTTTACCCGGCTTTTCCATGTCATATTTCCTGGGTCCTCTTTGATCTTGTATGTTTTGAAAGGTTTATTACTGTTTTCTGCCACACTCATTGTGTTCGATGCTGTTAACAAAACATGTGTATTAAGGTTACATTTCTTTAAGCCCAAATGACGGATGCTTTGTTGTGAATACTCTTTAAACCACAATCTTCATGTTGAATACAAATCAAATTTTCCAATGATCAAACTGCAGCTGAACAGAACCCGGCTCCTCCGATGACAGCCCAGCATCAGGAAGTGGCTATGAATCGCCAGCAGCGATATTTCCGGATTCCTTTCATCCGGCCTGCGGACCAGTACAAAGATCCCCAGAATAAAAAGAAGGGCTGGTGGTACGCTCACTTTGATGGGCCCTGGATAGCCAGACAGATGGAGCTTCACCCAGACAAACGGCCTATTGTGCTGGTTGCAGGTGAGTCAACAGCTTTTGCTTTTTGTCGTATTATAACAATCCTGTATATGCGTTACTTGATATGACTATGCTATTATATTTATTATTGATTAAAATGTCCATTATTCATCATAAAGTCCTGTGGTTCCCAACCCAAACCCAATCTTGTGACCCCTTAAACCGAAGCAGTATCTACTTACCTCATCTCATGTCGCAGACTTAATGTGGACAAGCATTGTGAGCACAAATTTTTGTTTTTAGATTGTTAAATTTGAAGGATTTTTGAAGACTTGAATCATAAAAGTAACATAAAACATATTTTTGTGTGACAGAAATATTTGTTTCTTTTTGTTATCTAGTTCATGTGAATGTGGTCCTTCAGATTTGTGTCTGAACACTAACCCCCAGGGTGAGAAAACTGTTAAGAAAAAAAGAAATCCATATCGCAGTTTTTCAGGGCCCAGGATGAAGTCTTCTAATCACTTATTCTGTCTAACATACAGTCCACAATCCAAATATATCAATGGATTTATGGTAATATGAAACAGAAAAACACCCACTTAAATCCTATATTTTCCCTCCTTGCACTGTTTGATTTGAAGGATTTTTGGAGACCTGGAACATAAAAGTATTTCACAAGAAAAGAGGCCAAAATAAGAGAAAAGTCAGATAATAATTGATATGACAAGACATACTTTTGTGTAACTGAAATATTTTTCTTTTTATCTCTCTCATCACAATCCTCAGGGTTAGACTAAATATGTCAGAAAAGAGTAAAACATTTGTAAAGGTGAAGTCTTCCAGTCGCTTTTGTCTAACCAAAACCCAAACCCAGAAACATTCTCACATTTGAATTTATGGTAATCAAAAAATGCTTTATGCTACTTTATATACTTGGTATACAGGTTTTGGTGAATAAATGTACAGTTAATGGATGAAATGGATATAGAAGTATGTGTCCTTTCAGTGAACCTCTGTCACTAACCCCTCAGGGAAAGATGATATGGAGATGTGTGAGCTGAGCCTGGAGGAGACGGGTCTGACCAGGAAGAGGGGCGCTGAGATCCTGCCCAGGCAGTTTGAGGAAATCTGGGAACGCTGTGATGGGATTCAGTACCTCAAGAAAGCCATTGAGAACAAGCAGGCCCGCCCCACACACGCCACCGCTATGCTTCAGAGTCTCCTCAAGTGAAACCAGAGCAGCAAGATAAGCACACAACCTCGAGTTCGGTCCCGAAACATGACACTGATACACAGACTCACACACATGCACGTTGAAGGGCAGCACGGTGTACCTGTGGTTTGTGGGATAAAAAGAAGTAACCACAGAGAGAGATGCTCCCAATACAATCTCACTCTAGGCTGTTTCACTCACTGAATCATCTCCTTTTTAAATACCTACATGTTGTTTATTTTCACTTTTTATATCTTTATTTGCTGTGTAACACCTTGCTGGTGTATCGTTTGTGTTCAGTCCTTCCTCAATCTATGCTTGAATGGAAAACCCCACTGTGAGGCCTTTAATTGCAATATCACTGCACTACACCAAGGAAGTCTTAATAGGTGCGTAGCCTCTCTAGCTATTAACCTGAAACTTTAATGGTCTGCAATAAGGACAATACATTTGAGATAAAAATATGTAGAGATGCTTTTAATAGTGTGTAACATCTTGTCTTTTAAGTAATGTTTTCTGGTCTTTTGGTCATTAATGCTCGACACTGTTATACATCTACATCAGATTTGATTAGTAAGAAAAGAAGAAGGGACGTTAAGAAATGCTTCTCTTCCTCTGTTTTTATTAAAGTACTGAAAGATGACTAATCATAATATAATACAACTCAGAGACAGATATATAATTTTATAATACTGTAGTTAATATATTTCACTGCTCCATCTACTACAAGTTTGACACGAGAAATAAAATCTACATTTTAATAACTTTTTTATCACTCCCTACAGAATAACTACTACATACAGTCATAGAATGTATTTTTGCTCCCAGTATGCACTTTTTAAGAAATTCAGTAATTTGACGAAGTGCTGGGTCTATTATCTATCTTTTTTTTTTTTTTTTTTGCTGCGTATATACAACTCTGTTAAATGTTGAAATCCTTAAAAAAAACTAATAATTTTTTTGTATTGTTCATTTGTTATGCAAGAGGGAAATGTAGAAGTTTGTTTTGCAGTTTTGTGGGTTCGGGGTTGTTTTACAGACAATTATGTGATTTGTGTGTGTGCGTGTGTTGTGCGTTTGTTCATGTAATATTTTATTAAGCTGATTACTTGACTCCTCTGTTGGTTAGGCCGGGGATATTTCAGTCATCTCATTGGACAATCATGCAGAACGTTTTATTTAGACTCACCCTTATTCACTGAAAGATACAGTAACTGTACTGTAACTGGAACTAATGATTCACTTTCAAAGGCCCCCTCTTTGATCTGGTTGTATGTCGGCCTTTGCACTGGAATACTGTAGAAATAAAATGTGTGCCCCTATGGTCTTGACTGCTTTTTGTTGTTACTATAGATAATAAGAAAGTGGGAAAAATTTAGTTAATTCACAAAACTTAAGTAAGATAGCCATTAGTGGGTATTGCTGTGTAAATGGATCTGACATCCTAACGGTAACAGCAGCTAACGAGATTAGCATGTCGATTAATTAAACAACAAAGGCTAATGTACTGCTGATGTCATCACAGAGCCAGGCTTGCGCCCATTAAGTGATCAGCTGGATTAAAACACTGGACTTAATGTCCCAGGGTGTAACATTTAGGAGGATCTATTGGGAGAAACTGAATATAATATTCATAGGTATGTTTTCATTAGCGTATAATCACCTGAAAATAAGGGGTTTTAGTTACTTTAGAATGAGTCCTTTTTATCTACAGTGGGAGCAGGTCCTCTTCCATGAAGGCCGCCATGTTTAACCGCCATGTTTCTACAGTAGCTAGATGCCACTAAATCCTACACACTGGTACTTGAACAAGCTTTGAACAGTCAAAAACAAACAAAACATCAAATTTTTTACGCAAAAAACATTTTATTCTTTGCTTTTAAATGCAAAACTGTGTAAAAAAACAAGAAGTCCAAATCTCGAAAGACGAATAATTAGTGGGAAGAGTTGTTTTGAACAGGACAGACTGATGGAAATGTAGCTCAGCACAACAATATGTCACGATCCAAGTCAACAGCTTATACATTCATTCTCTTTTTGGGACACAACAATGGTTAAACATTAAAATAAACAACATTTTACAGTCTAAGCTAAAGATACCACCATGTGTATCAGTTTGTAAATAATAAATACCTCATTGTGAGGAAAGAACAACCTTTGCCAAGGGTATACAGGAAATGTTCCTACCATTCAATATATGAAATAAATATTAGGTTCCACTTTAAGACAACCTAAGTCCACCTTAATATCCATAGTCCTCTGTCTAACAAGACACAACCACTATGAACAATTAATCTCAACACTTTTAACACCATTTCGCTGGTCTACTGTACCATGCATCCATAAGCAGCAACTTCTGTCTTTGCTCCTCAGATAAACAGGGTGTCATCAAAGAACTGTTACTTCAAAACATTCGTTATCTGATGCCCTTAAAACGCAGCATGTTCTGTATTCATTTGGCCGTCGCCACGTCTAGGAAGAGACAAGAGGGAGAATGAAAAATAGCTAACTTCGGGTTGGAATTATACAATAAATGACAGAATAACCTTGTAACTACATCTAAAAGGCATTTGCTCTAGATAAATCTATCAAATATTTACTTAAACTCAAGAAAGGGACTATTTTTCATTGCAGAAGCTCTGATCAACACTGAGCTCAACAACACAGAGATTATTTCAAGGTTAATATTTGATTATTTTCCCAAAATGTATTTTCAGATAGAGGCTGTTGTTTAAATATGCAAAAGTCAACTGTGATTTGGTTTGTAAGTGAAAATCAGCCAGGGCTATAGTACAATACATGCACGGATGTTTTACCTTTGCACACATCATAGAGCTGTAAAATATTTGATGTTAAGGTTATTATTATTGAATATCAGCAAGACTTAGACCATACAGTAAGATAAAATGCTTATTGAACTACTGTAACTGTCCCTGAACATACTTTATTGTCATATTGTTTCTGAATAAGTTCCATCATAGTGCCAAAAAGTCCCATAAATGATCCTCACCTCATTGTGTGGTGTACAGTGATGGAAGTCCACCATTTCTGAGACTAACTTTTCTGATCTGGTTGTGTAGAGTTGTCTGGGGATCTGTGGAGACAGAGAGTAGACAGGCTCAGTATTTACAGTGTGCTTCATTAATAATATAGAACCAGAGGCACTTCAACCAGATAAGCAGATGCAATGTGAATGAAAGCAGGCAGTACATCCGAGGATCTGCTGGAAAGATGAAAGACACTACTGCAACTACAGGAGGATATACCTACAGCTGCTACTGCAGAGCTCAGGGTTAAAACTATACACCTTTTGTTGGATTTGGCACAAAGCCTCTTCAAAGGTCTGAACTGTGTTTGATTCTGAGGATACTCAAGGTACCCGACGACCATGATCTACATTTCATTACCATTAAAGCCACACTGAACAGTTTCAAACATTTTTTTTTAACTGGATATGACTTGTCTCAATTTAATACTGATACCCCTGTATGACCTTCATAAAAAAATAAGACCATTAGACTATATTTAATGCCTTCCACCATGTCGGATTCAGTCGGAGTCCCCTTGAAGTTAATGAAACAAGGCGGTGGAAACACTACCGCTTTTGTCCACAGGGGACGCCAGAATCAACAAAAACCTCATTGCTGCTTTAAGTAATACTGATACATGAGAAGGTTGGTCAGCTTTGATGGTGAATATAAATCTCTAAATACAAAACAAAGATGAAATCTATGGAGGTTGAGAGCAAGTATTTGAGTTTGTAAGATTGAATTAGTTGATATTACTGTAGTTGAAGGTATGAGGTTAGTTAGTTTAGTCGGTTTAGTCTTTTGTGCTGTGCAGCACGGTGTACCTCAATACTCAGATGTATATTTTCAATTGAGGCAAAATGTTCTTGTTCAGACTGTTGGGACTGGGAAGAAGCAGAACTTGAAGGATATGGCAATGTGGACACTTGAGTTAAGACACCATCATCATTCTCAAACACTGGGTTCACCCTCAAAGTATTCTCAAAGGCATAGGGAGCAAGGGTGTGCCTACAACGCAAAGGAGACGAGGTGGTGAATAAGATAAGACACAACATGTCACAAATCACTGCAAAAGAACAACACAAGAGGTTCTGATTATAAATAAAAATGAATAAAGGAGCTCGTACTTACACCAAAGTGACAGCCTTCCTGTTATTGACACATTTCTTGTTAATGAAAATCAAAATGCCAATGACGGCACAAACAAGGCAGAGACTTCCCACGAGGCAGGTTACAATAAGCGGAGGATCTACCGGCATTGACACCAGCTCGTTGCAGCGTTCTCCATGGTAGTGCCAGTATTTACCTCCAGGGCATCTGAAAGAGATGAGAAAAAAGCTTTTTTCACTTTGGCACAGGCACAAAAGAAATGCTATGAAATGTACAGAAACATTTTCACATTCCAGGTTTTCCAATTCACAAACTTTTTTTTTTAAATGAACTGAAGCAACATCCTGTTTGAACAAGAGAATATAAAATGGAGGCAAGATGATCTTTAGATGCTTTTTCATTGTGACTTTAAAGAAACACTGCAGTTGTAAGGTAATCTGACCTAATGCAGACTAGTAGACTAGAGTTTTGATTGGTTTTCGAACAGTATGCCCAGCACCGGTCGTTTCTCGATTTCAACTGTAAAAACCAGACATGAAAAACACTGAAGCGGTATATAAGAAGATGTTCAACTTACTGGATTAATTTGTCATTTTCTGTGACATATGCTAAGTCACTACATTTGCCAGATTAGTCAGCTGACATTCAATATTTAATAGTTGGCTGCTAAAAAGCAATAATAACTGAAATAACTAATAGATATGCTTGATCTGCTCCTCTGCTCTGATATTTGCTTCTGGGTGTAATAACATAGTTCTGTTCCGTCTCAGCAGCCAACTCTCAAATCTTGACTGTCCTTGATTACACTATCAAAAAAGGGCTTTCAGCACAGTCCCTGCTTGTGCTTGCAACTGTATTACAGCACAATAAAGATGAAAAACACTGATTTCCAGTCTCAAGCAAGTTTGAAGCCTTTGCAAGTTACAGAGGTGAAGACAATGGCTGTAAGACAGAAAGGAATTTGTTAAAACCTCCTTCTGAATGTAGAGCAAATCCACATTCTCTGATTCAAAATGCTAAAACCTTTGAAAAAAAGCTGAGGTCACAATGTTTTCTTTCATTCGTCAGCTTTTGTGTACCTGCAGGTGGCTCCATGTCCCGGGATTATTTCACACAGGCCTCCATTCAGACAGTAGTCTGGCTGCACAGCGCAGGTGCTCTGACACGGCAGGCCGTCCACGGTGCTGTACCCCGGATCACACAGGCACTCGGCCTCATCGGTCCAACTGTTTACCACGCAGCGTGAAAACTCATTGCAGGCGAGGAACTTACAGGGGTCTGCTTGGTCAGCTAATACCAACAGGAGGAGGAGAGAGGAGGAGGAGAGGAAAGGAGAAGCAGAGGGGGGGGAGAAAGAGAGAGAGAGAGGTGTAGAAGAAATACGGACGAGAGAGGTGATAGCTCATTAACATTAATGCAGTGTCCACCTGTCTACAGAGTCAGAGGAGAAATTAAAGGGCATTTTGATTGATGTGAATGAAGGTGGCTGCTTTCAATAAGGTGTGTTTAATGAGGTCACATACAGTCGTGAACTCTGCCAAGCAAAAAGATGCATCAGATTTATGCTGCACTTCACCTACAGACTGTAAAAGACAGCAGAGGGAGGGTGTGTGTTATGGACAGGCACTCTGACCTTGTAGCATGAATGAGCATGTCACTGCAAGAACAGATTATGGATCTGTTTTTTGTTTTTTTTTGTACGCATGAGGTGTCTGCATCCTGTAACCACACTGCAATTTTATTTTATTTTTTATTTTTTTGCTTTAAAACACAATTTTATAGGTGGAGGGGGTTAGGTTCGACAGAAATAGAACAATTAGGACAATTAAGGACATTTCACCTGGTTCCACTTCCAAGGAGCGACTGTCAATCTCGATGTCAAGCCGTTTAGATGCTGCACTGCAGAAGTCTTCAAGCACACAGTGAACAGCTTCTGTGACGTTGTAAGGGACCGGTTTGTCCAGTTTCATCCTGCTGTTTACAACAACGCTGCCGTTCCTGAAGTTGAGAATTTCCAGCTGCTTAAATCCCGTCAAGTTGGATTGTAGATATGGCAGGAGCTGTGGGGAAGGAAGAGGGAAGCAAATTAATTTGTATGAATTCTCTTTAAATTTATCATACTGAATATCAATTAAAAGGGTTAGTTTCATGTGCAGTCAGTGATCAGTGAGAAAAACTACTTATTTACAGCAGGAACATAAGAATACAGTGTTCCTGGAAAACAACACACAAGCAAGATTGATTCCATCTTAAAGGGTAAAAAGGGAATCATTCCTGATCAAAGGAGGACAAAGATTTCCACTCGGATGTTTAGGTTAATGAAATGATGTCAGTGTCAAGTGTCAGTAAAGACCCGTGTCCTCCTAAGAGGAAGACCAGGGCAGCAGAGACCACATTTACTTATGGTTTTACTTCCACAACGACAGGACTGAGGTTGTCGTAGCACGGCTGATTTTGAATTATTCAGGTCACATTTTACAGTGTGAATGCTATGAATAGTTAATAATAAAATTTTGATGCAAGCATGAAATCTTGCCATTATTGCACTTGACTGTTATTATCCAGAACAAAATTAGGGTTAGGTTTCTAAGCATAGGACGCAGGGCGTACTAGCTCTAGTCACTGAAGAGGCTGCGAACACATGATAAAAAACATTAGGCCTTTCCATGAAATCAAAGCTATCTCAAGTCCAAAAGAAATCTATAATATATGCTGTTTGGAGAAGGCTTTTATCATAAGTGCCTAACAGTAACATAGGCCTGCTACGTGGGTCAAGTATCTCTACATTATCCCTTCACTGCCCTACAAAGCTGAAACTCAATAACTACATACAGCAGTTGGTCAAAACTGAGATAAGACCAGCACCTTTGAATTTATGACATCTGTTTAATTTCAATTATTATGTCATAGAAATGTGGAGTAGAAGAACAGGTAAAACTCACACTGACACTCTGGCTAACGGCGAGCTTAGCCTAAGCCAAAACTAATTTAGTCACTTTTTCTTCCCCTTGTTCTGTAATTAAAAAAATTATTTTATGGTTCAACATCTTAATAATTGAGTTTGTCTGTCATCTCTGCAGTCTCTAACCATGGAATTAACATGATTTGACGTGGTTAAGCAAACACTAAATTCTTAATTAATTAAATATAATTCCTTTATATATAGACTGTGACAGCCATTAGCAATCAGCCTAAAAAGGCAAACATAGCCATATTTAAACTCCTTCTTACAGTTTTCCACATTGTTGCATTTAAAAAATATTCCCGCAGACCTGCAGCTCAGATAACTCAGAAACCAATCTACCAAGACTATGGGTTTGGACTAATGAAAGTGGTGATATTTAGGCGGGGAGGAAGTCCTCCAGCTCAGGTAATGGACCGGCATCAGTGTCCATCGATCTGAACCGCTCTCCTTCTAGCCACTTCACGTTCACTACAAACGAGGCAAACACCAAACGGCCACAGTGTGAGAGGGAGAGATTGCGATGCTTTAGCTGGCCTGGCTGTTGAGCGGGAGATAAGAGGCCTTAAGGAGCTCTGCTCTGATCAGGTTACTTCACTTATCATTGGCAGACAGTTTACGGAAGGCTAGTTCACTATAGCTAATAGTCTCTGAGAAAAGAGAGGGTCCAACATCCAGAACAAATGGGCAACGGCCTGCAGTACAACTGGACACACAGCTTGCCGTTTGGTCATCCATTTGTCTCAATGCAGAATGTCAAGTATTACAAGCACACTGTAGATTAGATACCAATCTGTAGCCTTCCACACAAGGTCAAAGCCAACTTCTTACACAACAAACCTCAGTGCAGTCTGTATTGTGTACTATCGAACAATAGAGATACTGCAGATTTATTTCTCGCCTTCTGCAAAGAAATGTCGACAGCATGGCACAAACACAACCATAATTTCAGTCTTTGACACAATCACACATGCTTCTCTGAGGTTACACATGTATCTACTGGTTCTTGTTTTGGAAAACCTGATGAAACATCCCTTCTCTGATGTCAAAAAAAAAAAGTCACAAGGAACATTATACTGCCATGAAAGCTAAATAAAATAAAGTGATTCCAACCTCCATGTCCAATTTTATTGGTTGCTTCACAAACCAGTAGGTACAGGAGTAATGGGGGAGTGTGGCAAAGGCAAACACGGGGAACTGCACGCCTCTGGAGGCTAATGGTTCATATATATGTATGTCTATATATATATGAGAGACAGTAAATGTACATTATCACAAATGGGGTCCAGAAAAGCTTTACATTATGTCCATTTAAATGGGCTGCAAAATTTATATTATTTCACATTTCTTCATTACATTTCCTGCTATTTGTCAGTGATTTCTAAATCAGGTTGGACCAGTTTGAAATATGTGTTCCCTTCTCTACCTCAATAGCCCATTTAAAGGAAGATATGTTGACTATTCCTAATGTAATAGTGACAATAGACAGTAGACGGTAAATACTTACCAGTTCAAACGTCTGACCACATTAGTTTTGCCAGGAAGCTAAATACATCAATTAATGAGGAGAACTGCAGAAACCAAAGTTTGGGCAACCATTAAAGATTGGAGATGGAGTGTTATTTTTTATTGTTGCTTTGGAGTTTTGTCTGTATTATGTATCAGTGTTTGTTATTTGTGTCTATGTATCCCTACTACTTCAAACTGTATTCTTTGATCCAGTGCAGACATTACAGTCCAATACTTGATTGGAAAAAATCTGTTTCAAAATACATAATTAAACTTGCATACTACTGTAATAAATGAGTGAAAATTGTTGAGAAACATAACGCCTTATCAACTATTTATCTTAACCCAGAAAGCTTGTTGCGTTCTATCAGAAAACTAAGCCCTCATGGCCCAGTAGCTCACATTCCCTCTGCTCCTTGGCATTGCAGCAACCACACAATCCAATTTGTATCGATGCACTCCTCGGTTTGAGGCTGAGGCCTTTACGTAACACAGAGCACAGGGCACCTCTGAGCCAGCCTAAAAATATGTCCCTTCCGTCAACCTCAGGGTAAGCCACGAAACTAAATAAGGATGTCAACTGATGCTTCTTGCTTAGATGTTCGCACATAGGTGCATGTTTAAAGAGACCTTATTTAAAAATTATTATTTAGACAAAAAAGACAAAAGCCTATTTGCCACGACAAAAGGAGACATTTCACCATTGATTACAAGTATGGGCACTGGGTTTACACATAAGTGCTCCAAAACAAAAAAGAACCTCGACCAATCTGTGATCTATTTTATTTCATTGTCAGAAATACAAGTATGTCTATAATACCAGTTACTACAACATGCATACAGATGTCCACAGAAACCGGATTGATATCGCACTAAGCAGATTGGAACCATTAATAGCACAACGTGTGTGGTGCTGGAACCAACCAGAATTACTTAAAGCTTCTTACCACAAGTCACAAACCTCTGAGTCCTACAATGACTAAGGCAGACCCAGGTCTCATGATTCAGACTACCCTGGGCTAGTTTGTGCTCTACCGTGTACAAAGCGATACAGTTTTAGCAACACAAAATGCATAAAGCTGCATGACTTTCCTATTAGGTTCTCTCTATGCCTGTTATCACATTGTTCTGCTCCACATCAATTCATTTATTCACTCTGCAAGTTTATCTTTAAGGCTTCCAACATGCACAAACACACACTGGTCAATGTTGCAACAAATGTACAAAAACATTCTTGAGTTTGTTGGTGAGAAACTCACTAGTCTAACTAGACACATAAACACACATTTATAGTCCCACAACATATAGATAATAATCAGTGTATGCTATATTATGATACAAAACATCTCTAGAGTTTATCAGAGCAGAGAGCTCGTTCTACAAAGAAATGATAACAGATGTATTGCTTCCAATGTTGTTCTTTAAAGGAATAGTTTAACATTTTGGGAAATTATCTAATTAGTCTTCTTGCCAAGAGTTATAAGACAGCATTGATACTACTCTCATTTCTGTCCACTTAATATAAGGCTACAGTTATGTTAGCTTAGCATAAAGATTGGCAACGGGGAAATAGGTCACCTGGCTCTGTCCAAAAGGAACAAAATTCACCTACGAGCACTTCTAAAGCTCACTTAAAAAAGTTATTCTCATTTGTTTAACCTGTAAAAAGGACTTACACATTGGACTATTTCTTAATCATTGTGAGATTGCCTGGCAACCAGTGGCAACGCTATCAGACCACAAAGAGCTTTGAAAGTGCTTGTAGGAAGCGGGAACAAATAGACACAAACTGAGGTGGAGATGCTTTAATTGAGTTGAAAATGTCTCAACTTTAGAGATAAAGTTGTCCCGGGATGAATCTAATGCTACTTTGGTTGCTACTGCAGCTACCAGCTACTAATGGGGTGAATTTTTACTCCACTTCTGTCAGTTTAAGTTAATGCATATTTCCCAAAATGTTGGATTATTTATTTAGACCATTCTACCAGTTTACCTTTGTTGGTTCCTAAAACCTTGAAATTTCCACTAAATAGCAGAAGCCCCGAACTCCCTTGCAAACACATTTTTTTTCAAAACGACTAGTTGGAATATGAGTCAAACAGAATCTGAACAGTCCCTGCAAAAGCCAAAACATTAGCACAATTCAAAAAATTAAGGCAAATCACACAACAACAGGCAATGTTAGAACCACACTCACAGATAAAACCAAGCTGCAGCAGGAAGGTCTAATGTCTAATGTAAGGACAAAAAAAAGCTAGAGTATTTCAGAAATGTTAGGTGCTTTCAGATTGTTAGATACTGCATTTCGGAAAGGTTAGTTAAGAAATAGAAAGGTCATGCTCTCTCTGAGGCATTGGAGATGTAGTTCCAATATGGAAGAAAAAAAAATACCGGTATGGAGGCTAAAGTCGTCTGTCTCCTAGGCCCAGATTTACTGGAAGCTCCAGGGTTTGGCGAGTTTCTGGACCCAGAGTGCTGTGTCTGAGTGAAACAGAATAATTCTTCATACTGTTGACACAATGGTTCCTTTGAAATTAAAGCATCAGCATACTGCAGATTTGACCAAGAATTTGGCGAATGCTTAAAACCGTATCACATTTTGTAACATTTTTATAAAAAAAGTATAATTTATTGAAGAAAAAATACAAATTCATCATAATTTACTGTTAATCTCAGGTTTAAAAAAGCAAAAAGATAAGTGAGGATAAGGCTTACTGCAAAGTGCATCCTCACTTGTGCAGGGCAAAAAGATTTGGATAAAGCCCCAACTAAACAACTAACTCACTAAAATATCATCTGAAACCTAAGTTCAACAGTATATATTGCACAAAAGTGCTTCTGTCACATATTTCAGCTTCGTCTACAAAAGCAAATATGATAATGAAGCATGTAAAAACATGATATCCAGCACAAAAGCTTGTGTACCTACCAGCTCAAGAAAGGTATTCTCCAGTGATTTATACTCTGGGGAGTTCTTGTTGAACAGGTCATCAGAAAACATCATGTTAGTGACCCTCAAGCTAAAGAAAACCACTAACTCTTTGTTCTTATCCATTATGGACATCAGAGGGGTGCTGGCTTGTCTCATGGCCGGTGCAGCTGTGGATTCATACGGGCGTTCGTCAGACTCTGAGTTGAATCCACTACCACTCTCTTCTTCCAGGGTTTCGGTCACTTCTGCCTCTGTCTCGTTCTGACTTGACCCGACATCCTCTTGAATGTTTGAGTTCTCTGGAGGAAGGTCTGTTAAGACTGGGGTCGCTCCACTGTGCCCTCCGCCAGACTCATCCCTTTCCTCTGGAGCTTCGCCGCTCTCTACAGGGGATGGCAAAGGCTCATCATCTCTTTCTGGTTCATTGCCTTGGAAAGCATCCTCGTGAGATGATGGTGTGGAGACTGGCACTGCTGCTTCTATGACAGATATCTCAGTCAGTGTGGGGTCTGTAGACTCTGGCAAGTTATAGTAAACCTCAGCAGGTGTATCAGTAATTTCTTCTTCTGGTTGGGTGTCTGGGGTTGGCAAGGGAAGATCTTCATTTTGTTCATCAGGGACCCCATCAGCAGGTTCAGGTTCTTGTAAAACATATATCAGAGAGGGGGTTTTATAATTTATTTTGAGTATGAAAGAAATATACAAGTAATAATAGTATACAGGTATGATTGCAATTTAGGTAGGACACTCATCCATCATGTTGCTTCATCTGATAACTAGCCTACCAGAATCTATGTTCAAACCATGATTTGACTACAAGTTTAGGAGCTGTTTTTTGCTGCTGCTGTTGAATAAAGCCAACTCCATACATGATACCATGTATTCTATGTTAACCCCTTGACACACAGTTCCCCCCTTTGTTTCCCTTTTATTGTAAAGCGCTTTGGATTAAAGAAGATATATAAATGCAACCATAACAATTTAAGTATATTAGTTCTGCCTGTCCACTTTCATGTTTTTGAGTTCAGTATTGAGCTAGACTCAGGAAGCGATTAGCCTAGCATAGCATAAAGACTGGAAGCAGAAGGAAAGACCTATCCTGACCCTCCAAAGTTCAAAAATGCTCCACCTCTAAAGCTCAATAATTAATTTAATCTTGTTTGTTTAATCCACACATAAATAGGAAAAAAAGACATGTTGTCACTATTTCTTGTCAAACAACAGCCGAGTGCAGTTACTTTTCTCTTGTCATCAAAGTGAGTTTGCCAGATACTTACACAAAGAGTGACACCACCTAACTCCCCACAAATTGTCATTTTTACCTCACTGTATGTCTTCAAATGAAACAGATGAGATGCAATAGGTGGGCTTTAGTGATGCTACTGGGTGGATTTTAAAATTTTGAAAACTTAATGCTACTCTCACAAAGAAAGAGAAAAGGCACATTTGTCAAACTATTCCTTTAAGTCACTCTAAGCTTCTTATAATAATCTAACGTCCTACTGTCTGACAGTATAATGTATTCTGTATCAGGTTATATGGTTTTGACATTGAGTATAATATTGAAACATTTTTTTTTTGGGCTGCAACAATCCATCAAATTATAATATTCTAGATGGCTTGTGCGTTATTTTATACACGTTTCCCCCAAAATTCAGTTTGACAAGCCTGACACATTTGTATCTTAGGAAACTCCACTAGAATTTAAAATACATCCTGCAAGTCTGAACAAAATTTGGTTGCACAGCATGAGTTTGTAATAACTCGACCACCAACAGGCCGCTGCTTGTTAATGGGTTTTAATATGATGTATTGCCTCAGCAGGATGCATCTCCTTGCGCAAAACCAAACCACCAAGTCTAATTGTACTTTCATTTCCATTTCCTATGAGAGGTGATTGTTCTGTGCAGATATGTGTGGGTGGAAGGAAAAAAATATGTCACTGTTTATTTGGAAAGTCCCAAGTTACTCTCAGTGTTGGGGTTAAAACTGGGGCTATTGTTAAATAATGTATAGATATATACAAAAAAAAGGAAATAGATGTTTAAAGTGTTATTTAATGGTAATATTATAAAATGAGTTCACCCCGAATAAACTGCTCCTGTATTTTGCGTCTCTTGCCCATAACAGCAATGAGCTCATACCCCCACCCCTTCCCCACCATCAGCAGAATCAAGACTATGTAAAACCCGACCATGATGGCAAAGTGAGGGTTAAGTTGCAGTTTGATCCTGAGGTTCAATGCATCAATAGCTCCAAATGGAGTCCAGACCACAATCTAATGTTCGGTTTGATCAATAAAGCTTGAAGTTCTTAAACGTGTCTCTTCTGATTGAACTTCAACATCCTGGTTTTAAAACAATCTGAAGTGGCCTTACCTTCTGTGACCTGCTCGTCAGGTTCAGCCTCACCTCCGTCCTCAGGCTCAGTAGGTGGTATCTCCTCCACCTCTGGCTCTGCTTCCTCTTCCCGCTCTGTGATAGTTTCCAGTTTTGTGTCTGGTGTTATAATGTCACCAGGCTCCCCTGCAGAATCCTCTGTGGATTCCTGTTCTACTGTCGCTATTAGAGGAGTCTCATCTGTGATGGCAGACGTGGATTCTGGGACGACGTTTGGGATGAAAGGCACAAAGGTGTGTGTTTCTGGTTTGATTGTAGAAGCTTCCAAAGAGTTTTCTATCACTGCCACACTTGGGAAGAAACTTTGGGTGGGAGTGTAATCCTCTGTGGGTGCCTGTATGGTGTCGTCCTCGGGTACAGCGATCTCAACAGGGTTCATGCCGAGCTCAGCAACTGGATAAACTGTGGTTACTGAAGAAAAGGAGTTAAAGTGCTTTAAAATACTATTCTACTATACTACACTAATATAATATTTAATCAAATGTGAGTATGATATTATGCTTACCAGCCTCAAAGCTGAGCGTCTGTATGTCCAGCGGTAGTGAGGGTTCCTGTTTTAAAGCCTTTGTGATGATGTGCTTCAGTTTAGGAGCATTTACATCCTCATTTGTGTCTGTGTCAGGCTCCTCGAGACCCTCAGGTTCATCCCTGAGCTCTGTTTCTCCATTAAAGACCACAGCGTAATGCATAGACACATCCTGTGAGCTGATCAACAGAACAAATCATATCAGAAACCCTCATAATAGACAGACCTCACTGGTAATGGATGTCTGCTAAGGCAATTTCCGAGTCGTATCCCAAAAGAGGATATTTTTGGGGATGTTATAGTTTCCTTTGAGACTTGAGCAATAAAACGCTTCAATAAAAGCCACTTCAGGGGAAAAAGTATAAGAAATTTATGTTTTGAGTCTCTAATCTTATTTACGGTGTTGTTTTGTCAAAATCCATCATCATTACCAAGCCCAGTTATAGTGCCAAAACTTAAAGAAAACCTTTAATAAAACTTGATTCAACTCACCGAAATCCCAGAACTCGAATCTCTTTGAATCCTCGAACTTTTTCAAACACATGAAGCATCTATACGAAGAAAAAGAGAGAGACAGAATGAGATAGATGATAGAAATATATTTAGTAATTAATGCTCCTTTACTGGTTTATGTTGTATGTAATGTTTCTACACCATTCCTACAGCTTAGGCCTATACTGTAAAACTCACTGGATTATCCAAGAAATGCATTTTCACGAATCTCAGGGCTGTTTTTCTTATTTCATAAAAAGTTGACATCTTGGAGATATGTTCTCATTGGCCAGTAACAGACTAGCCAATAAAAACAACATAATACTTTTGCATATGCTGCATTATTTACTGTACACTAGAGCTGCAACAATTGGTCAACTAAACAATGCTATAATGGTTTATGCTATAAACTATTTTGAACAAACCTAGACTGTGGGATATTTTAAGTATTGTAAAAGTATTTTTCACTATTTCCTAACATATAGCAACACATAAAGCAATTCATCATGAAAATAATCGTCAGATTAATCAAATCGTTAATTTAAAAATCGGCTCATGCGGACATGTGACTGTAAAGACTCAGTGTTGCAGGTAATGGACCTAAACACATGACTTAGAAGAAGACAGGTTATATTAAAAGGATTACTGCGTACGAAATTCAAAAAAGGGTTTGCCAATAGGTGGTTAATCTAAGAGAACTAAGAAAAGGGGAAAGGCAGGCAGGCAACAGTCTAAAAAGGCAGTCAAATGGTCATAACAAGCAAGCAATGGCAGGTAGCGAAAAGACTTAACATTAATAGTCAAACTGGTGAGGAACACGAAGAAAGTGACACAAAGTGGCCTGTATATCAGTGGGAACTGATTAGGGGATTGGGAACACATGTGCATTTGGGTGTGGCAGTCAGGTAACAGCCAAATGTGGAAACACTGAGGACTACTGCAGAGAAGAGAGGGAAGAACTACTGTCTGGCAAACTGACAACAAGTAAGACAATGTAGGATGGGAGAGGGAGTACTGAGTATACATAAAGGTAGCTATGGATGTGGGGAGGTGCCCATGCCTACAGGGTCCAGAATGTTGTGTTAAGGTCCTGATGACAGCTGCATGTGGTTATTTTTGTTTTTTAACACTGCAGGATTATACTGTGAACATACTGGAAAAACACATCAGAGTGTGGTGGTTTATTTAGCCCTAACGTCTGCACTGTCTCATTCTTAAATTCAGTTCTCTAAAAAAGAAAATGAAACACTAATGGTTTTACACCAGCAGAAGTGATTCTTAAGAGCTGTGGTTAGAGTCTCAGTCGATGCCTTCTTAGTCGGAGATAATCTATATGATTAGATCTACTATTTCAGGCTTGTGGTCATTTAGGAGTCTTAGCTAAAGTCCCTTGGTTGCTACCTGTTAAATCAATCAGGGTGAGTTTTACGCTTAACAGTACAGTGCCATATAAGCTCAAAATCATGTTAATCTTATTGACATCTTGCATAATGAAAGGTTTGAATGGTTTGGTTTTGAGGGGAGGATTATAGGCAAAGACAAGGTGACAAAACCACAATTGCCACAATTGATTCTTTTCATACAGAATTTCACAGTTTTATTAGACTTAAAAGCTTTTCAAATGCAGTTCTGCTATCAAACGGCTTCCCGTGTTTGTGGAAAGGTAAAGCAGACAGCTCAGGCAACTGCTAACATTTGCTTTTGGTCTGTAAATGCACACCCGTCTCTCACCTTGTCTGTGAGCTCTCGTGTAATGTCATTGTACTGTGGAGCCTCTGGGTCACTGAGCAGCTTGCTGTATGTCGGGTCCACAATGGTGACCCTGAACTCAACAATGTACTCCTCATAGTTCTCTTTTATCATGTTTGGATCTTCTAGGATCTGGCAAAGAGAAGCCAAATGACATTGTTATTAGAGAAGTGCCATTCAAAACAAATATGGTTCTGGTATTTTAAGGATTTGCTTACAGCCTCAGCTTCAGTTGGTAGCAGAATCACTGGAGGTGTCCAGGTGCCTGAGACAAAACAACAACACACTAGTTCATTTATGATTGTATGACAATGTATTGATAGCTGTTAAAGTCAGTAATTCAGTGGTTTTTCATTGAACAGTAGTGATGCATTAGTGTCAAACTCACATTCCCTTCCTGGCTCAGTGGTCAAGTCAAATCTGGAAATAAAACAACATATTTGTTAGGAATTTAGTTTGATGACAATGAATATTTGCTGCACTAAATTTGTGAGAATCCTTACGCTTAAAACCAATATCCATGTTTGCCTAATTTCCCAAATATTAATCTGGCTAAAGTAGCAAAGGTGTAGCTGGTTTGAACATTGTGAACAGAACATAGTTTGGTTTAAATGTGTATTCTAAACAAAATGACAGCATACCACCAAAGGAACATTCACAAACAAGGAACACAAAATATAAGAAGTTTGCACATACCCTTCACTTTCAGCTTGCTCTGCTACTCTCTGGATATAAGAAACAAGATATTATCTATCACAGATGTACACTTAAGATTGACAGCCACGCAGTCTGAACACAATGCTATAAAAGTGGACAGAAGTATTTTTGTCGTGTTGGTGCTGGACTCACTCTGGCCACCATTTCCAGATGCTCCTGAGAGCTGCTGAAGTTCTGGGCCAGGTCGTCCATGCAGAGGTTTTCATGCTGGCAGGTGTAAACCCAGGCTCTGTACTCCTCTGAGTTTGGGACTCTGTCCAAGAAGATCCGAAACGCTTCCCAAATAGCTTCCTGACAAACTGAAGCGATATCACACAAATTTGTGGATGTTTTCTTTTGACTTTTTGCAGAAGAAAATACACCAAACTCACATAAGTATGAATATGCACCACCATCTAATCTTACTTTAGAAAAACATATACAAGGGATGACTGAACATGGCATTTCATATATTTACAACAAGGGCAGACATGATGGAAATTATATAATGGAGAAATAAAAAAACATAAACATAAATAGGATTGTTGGTATTGATCTTGGCATCTCTGAATGTGGGCAGTTTGCTGTGATTTAGCTATTTATCTGTAATATTACCAGTACCACCATGCTACAATAAATCACAAAACATATTAAAACATGATATGGGATACTGGGGCAGCACAAAAAGGCACTAATGCCTGTTTCAGTAAATGTCAAACTGTATATTTAAGTCGCTGCATGTCCGTGACATTTTTGTGAATATTACAATCATGAGCACAAAGACCCCCTGGAGCTGCAGTGTGTTTTATCTGCCTCTGTGAGGGAACCAAGCTCCACATTCTCCAATATATTGATGCCTGTGGGAAATGTATCTTTTGACAAACTCATTTCTGGAGCAATGCGATTACCTCCAGTACACCAAATTAATCTGCCTCCTTTTTTTAAATTATACGGCACAGCAGCTGTCGTGGAACAAGTTGAATTACTAAGCAATTGTAACAGCCAAGGTGATAACCTTTGCCTCTTAATTCATACACAATGCGTCTCTCTTAAACAAAGGATATTTGCATATAACTTCATTAAGTCCATCACTATGTGTATCCCTAAAGTCAGTAAATCTGGTTCAGTACATCATTTCGTGGCATCCTGTCAACATCACCAGGCTCTAAACAATTAAGACGGATAACAAACATCACGTATGTGTATGTACATTCATTGGCAAGATTTAGAGAATTGTACACATTTGGGGGGATTAAAATATCTTTTTTATCTTCTTCCCAAAAAGTTCCAACTGCTAAAAACATCAAAGCAGACAGATATTTTTCCAACTGCTAAGACATCTGTGTTTGATTGTTTTGGTCAGTGTTTTAGGAAAAGCTTATCATTTCACTGTAAGATTTTCAGTCATAATTATGGATAAAGTTGAAGTAAATTTACAGTATAAGCTCACATCAAAGTCTAACAGCAGACACTTCCTTTTACCTCTGAGTTTGTAATAGCTCCGATGGCTGCTGATGACTGCTTTTATGGTCTCCTGGGGACACACTTTGACACCTGTGGTGAAGAGCGCTGACCTCTTCGTCCGATGGCCATCCTGCTCCGCTCTGACATTTGTAGTGTGTCTGATCGGTCTGGAGGCTTCTAGAAAGTGTCGATACTTCACATCCCTGAGTCCAGAAAAACCGTGGTCATGAAGGTCTGCAAAAGCAGTCAGTGAAGTGATAAGTTAAAAAGAAATATAATAATGTGGCATGATTTTTACAGAATTCAGCACATGAATGTGTGAGATTTCTCACTCAGTGATAGAAAGTGTTTCTGTGGATGATTGTTTCAATTAACAACTCAACACAAAGCCAAAGCCCTTTTTTCTCCTGCTCTGTAGCTAGTGACACACTGTACCTAAAGTAAGTTGAATGGTTTGGAGTTTGTTTCTTCTGCAATATTAACAGCTTCACAATTGAATTACTCGTCATGTAAATGGTTGGAAACACAAATATTGGATACAGAAAAAATCCTGATAATATAACATACTGATGCTGTGATTTTTCATGAAGTAGCCATTCATTCAAACCTACTAGGAGTTTTTAACAGGTTGCGAAACAGTCTGAATTTACCTAATGCCTCTAAATGATAACAAGACCATCAGCGAGAAAGCTGGCTATCTCTATATAGTTATTCTTAATACAAGCGCCCGCAATAAGATTCCTCTTGAAATCAATGAATATAGGCGGTGGAAACACTACCACTTTTATCCACAAGGGCCACCAGAATCAACAAAAAATTGGAAGTTTCATGTTGCGGCTTTAAAGGAAAAAGTTTTATATGGATGTCCAATCAGTGTTGATGGTAAATGTAGTCAACTGAAACAAGAAATTCCTCAGTGTGTGCTTCACAGAGTTTTTCTGCTTGTGGATCAGTGATGGCAGTGCCTACGTGCACCAGGATGCATAGCATGCAAGCTTCCCTTTAATATGTTGCCTTTGCTAGGATGGATAAAAGCGAAACCACAATTGCAAATTGTATTTACTGGCAACAAAATACTCTTTAAGTTTGCATTATCACAAGCAGAGCAAAGGTTTGTTTTAAAGGAGCACTCCATCAATTCTACACACAAAGATCAGTTTGTTCCAATGAGTACTACTCAGCAACAATCATAGTGACAATAGTGATGTCATCAAGGTCATCTCAGATTGAAAATTTAACAGAAAGCCTTTTATGAAATGATATTTGACAGACTCAGCCATTAACTATCTAATGTCTAATGAAACACACTACCGAGTAGCATTATGGGAAGTGTAGAATCCTCTTAGAGCAGGACCCACTTTTACAGTGCACCACTGTGAAACTGTCAAAAACAAATCTTTTTCTCTCTTTTCTCTTTCTAATATCCAAAAACGTGCAAGAAGTGCAACACCAACTACCACCGAGGAGTGTTTAATTCTGGCATAACATTGAAAGGTATATCATACACGGAGGGTCCCTGAGAGTCTATTTTTGGACAATCTAGCAGTGTGTGTCTCTTTGGGGTGCAATGAGTTATTTGAGGTGCTTTGAGGTGCTCATTTGTGACTGGAAGGATACAATTTTGTATGCTGAGAAAGTGCACAGATGTGCAGCAAATGAGTAACTCTTACTTCTCTCTAAGGAATTGTTTCCTGAGATGCCCTTGCGTGACTTGACCCACGTTGCATCACTGAAGCTGCTCAACAGTGTAAGTTTTTTCTAGGCAGCATCCAGGTGTGAATGTGCAGAAAAGCACGCATGTGGATTACAGTTGAAAAGGGACATGCGTGCACAGCAAACCTTAAAGAGATTAAAACGAGGTACAGGTGGATATCCAGCTGATTTGAGTGATTAACAAAAACAATCCCATCACATGAAAACATTCACGCAATAACACTGACAGGCTTATTTCCATAAATTATATCACTGAGACGCTGTACACATCATGAGGAGAACTGCCCTAATTTCCTGATCACCTTAGTAAAGAAAACAAGCTCAGCCACCCTGGTGAGGCATTACAGGAAGGTAATTCCACACCATTACACAAGCCAGTACACCAGTCAACACTCTCTAACACAGTCACCCCATTGAATAAAGCTATTTCAGAAGAAAGGCACTCATTGTGATGCCAGGTGGCAAACCTCAGAAGACTTTTTAAGACAATAAGCCAGGATTTATGAGCCCCAAAACACAGACTTGAGGTAATTGGACCCAAATAACAAACTGTGCCTCCTCTAGATTAGGGTACAGAACAACAACAGAAGAATAAAAAGAGCAAGTGAGTGTAAATAATATAATCACTGTGACATTGGCATCAGACACGCAGCTTTTAGCTGGAGATACTACATTTTTATGAAGATACAAAAAGACAGGGGGGAAATCTTTGTGCATTAATGCTGCATATCATATGACAGATATTGAGTTGTGCTAATTAAAGTTAGTCATGTCCAGCATTGGGAACCAACACTGGACCACAAGCACAAGAAGAACAACACAGGAAGAGTCCAGGGAGTGCATGTTAAATCCATGTTATGAAGAGTTCGGTCTAGACCTGCTCTATTTGAAAAGTGTCCTGAGATAACTTCTATTATGAATTGGCGCTATACAAATAAAATTGAATTGAGTTGCAAGCTGCAAGTGTGTGTATTTGCATGAGTGGACACAATATCATAAACTAGCTAATGCAATGCAACACATGAACCCTAGATGCAGTATTACATCAGATAATAATGCATTTGCATGTAAAACAGTGAAAGAGTAGTATTGAATACATTACATTATTACATGGACTTATATATATATGTGTATGTATATATGTGTTATGATGGGGTTATGATGGGGTAGCTGGGGATGCAATAAACAAACAAACAAACAAACTTTAAATGGGCTGAGCTGTTGTTGTAGTATACTATGTAAGTATGTGTTGCTGACATTGTGTCCACCTCCTATATGTTGCCATAGCATATGTGAAGTAAGAAGGTCAGTTCATATTTTGGAATTAGAATTAAACTTATCCAACACAAAAATGTTCGAAACACTTTGTTAATCACTGTACCACACATAAATAATAACCCCTACAATGAACAATATTGTTTTCCTCAAATCCAAGATTGGCCTCACACCAAGAACATGCAAAGAATGTGTGGTCATTGACATTGTGGCCTGTGGCTTACTCCACAGTATAGTTTCTGCCAGGCAGAGTCATTCAGTCATTCATCTCAGCAGGTCAGAAAGTGGCCTGAAATTTAACCAAATCATGTGTGTTTTCATTAATACACCACTGAGACAACATTTGAATGGGTTTTTAGGAATCGGTAAGCTTGAAGCCTGACTTGCACATGCAAGGACACGAGGGCCTGGGTGAGAGGAGGGAGTGTTTGAACAGGCCTTAATGCCCAGTGCAGCCGCAAAAAGGCCTCACAGCAGAATTACAAGCCAGAAAAGATTAGCGTCCTGCGACACTGGGAACAGAATAGCTTTTGTTTCCTTCAGGATAATGAGCTCACCCGGGCACATCACACTGAACGAGACAACCAGTGCGGACGCAAATATTATCACTGGTGAAATGATGCTATCTTCCTCAGTGAACATCTATTATATGTCTCGGGCCGCTAATTCATAGTGAATATTCATGACCTTCAAAGTGGCTCACTGGCTGCTTGACATTTTTCTAAAAATCAAAGAGGATGAGTTTGAGGATGACCTAGCATTTTGTAGTTTACAGAGAGAGTTCTTTAAATAGCAGAGTTACACACACACACACACACACACACACACACACACACACACACACTTCTAACTAGAAAACCCTGTTGCCCTTGAAGTGGATCTCCACATCTTTAAGTCTCCTGTCATGCAGAAGAACATCACTGACAGAAAACCTGCAGAAAGGTCTTTACAAAAAAGATCTTTAAAGTAATGTGGAGAGTGACCTCTTTTAGTCCATCTCTTCTCCTGCTAAAAGTGCAGCCCTAAAGAGTTAGACTGTTGAAAGTTTGTTCAGAAAGAGAGTTGTCCAGCACTACTGAATCCTGCTGTGTGAAAACAAACAGCATCTCTTTCTCCAATCACACTACCAAGGCAAGAAAAATCTCAAATATGTAACCAGACTCTGTACAGGAATCTTACCTTTGATTCGACTTGCCTGGAGGGTAAACAGACACAAAGTGAAGAGTAGTCCTGACTTCAAAAGCATGATGGGCTAATTTATGTGGTTTTCAAGCCTGAAGTTGTCATTTGTAAAGAGATTGTTGTTTGCAACAGTCTCAAATCCAGAATCTTTTTATCTTGAGTCCATTAGCAGAGAGTGCAAAAGTCTCCTCATCGGTGCAGATAAAGTCTTCAGCTTGTTAGGAGGGAGCTCGGTCCACTCCAGCTCAGTTCTTCAGCAGCAAGTTATTTCCTGGATGCTGTTGGATCCCTGTAGACAACAAAGGTGGCTGCATGGATGGATGAGCAGAGGGAGCGAGGGAGGGAGGAGAGGTATGGGAATGAGAGATGGTGAACTGATTGGAATTTTGGCTCAGGAGTAGCCTTCTGCGCTGTCAGTGTGACAACAGTGACGAGGTTAAAAAAGCAGGCTCCGTTTTGAGTCTAATCTCTTTACCTTCTTCTTGCTGCTTGTAATCCCTGTGGGGCCACGTGGCCGCCCAGCCTCATCCTGTTAGCTGCCTTCTGGACCCTCATCTGTCAGTTGGACAAACTTGGGGATCTACCAAGCAGCCTAACTGCTTCCCACAGTCACCCCAAGTTCATCACTGACACCCACACTCTTTGCGTGTCTGCCTCAACCATTGCCCTTGTCCGACTGCCAAGCTCTTCCTCTTTTCTCTTTCAGTTTAGATTAACCCCAGCTACTAGTCAAACAATGTGCCTCATTCTTACTCTAGCTGCACAGCCAAGTTCAGGCCTCTTTTCTGACTGTACGTGCAGTGTCCTCATTTAACCCTGTGTTCTGGCTGTTGGGGATGCACCTGTTTTGAACCTCCTGCTCCGTTGTCTGTACTGTTACCTCTGTCTTTTTCTCGCTTACTTATTCCATATTCACCTTGAAAAACTCTCTTCTTGTCGTGTCCCATCCAAAGATTGCTTCATCGGGATGGAAAGAAAGCAGGATCAGGATCTGTTCCTTTGCATGTCCACTCTTCACTGTGCCGATCTGGGTGCTGAAGGTGATGGCTGCAGTAAAAGAAGTGAGTAGAGAGACAGTGGAGGCATGTGTGGCCTCTCTGTTTCGGGGGTTGGGAGTCTCCATGTTGTTAGTCTCCACCCTCACCTCTTTAGGAGAAGAGGATTAGCCGCCCTTCTTGGTTGTTAACAATTTGCTGCAGTAAATAAGCCTCTTCAGGGGCAACATAATCCACCCAGGCAATTTTCTGACACAGTAATCAGAACTTTGAACTAATGATTGTGGTTAAAAACAGTATTAAAGCAGTTTTTTGTCATTTGGGGGCAGAACACTACAACAGCCTGAATTACACATAAATTCTTTCAAACTGAGCTAATTACCCTTTTCCTGTGTGTTTCTGCTGACTTGATTGGGAAACTTACCCTACTATTACAATTTAATCTCAATTGCATGCTGTTTGTATTTAAATTTGATGATTATGATTACTATGATTCTTGAGGGATATATTCTGTTTACCTCCTTGGTCAGAGGTTATAGGTTGAGGGTATTTACTGTCTTGTGAAGATGGTAGAATCAGTTATATCATAGCATTACAGTGCAACACTTGATGTCAAAAGTTCCAACTTTGCATTCATGATGCAAAATGGCTGACAGCAAAAGCAAAAATGAAATCTTTTGTCGCATTATATTCTTTTGTGAACAGTTTGTGGAGTTAATGCAAGACTTTGAAACTTTACAAAAAGCAATCAGAAGTACTTTGCTGAGGCACAGTAATGACTTTCCCTCTGCAAAGGATGGGAGGTTATGTTCCTTACTTTCCATTTTTACGTTTCATAACCTCTAAAAAAAGCCTCCCTAGGTAAATGAAACTGAACATTTACATATAACTATACATGTATCAAACGTCTGAGTCCCCTATTGCATATTTTGCAAATCAAACCTGACCATTCCAGCATGTGACTCTTCTGCATGACCCTAATCCTGAAGGATTAGGGTCAGGGTCACAGATCAGGTTTTGTGGTCAAGCTTAAGTCAAAGATTTTTGGTTCAGTGTAAGGATTAAGGATACATTTGACATTCAACCCTAAGCGTTATTATCAAGTTTAAGTCTAAAACAAGCTGACATTAATGCAACATTATTGTTGAATTTTTGCATCACTAATGCATAAAAGCAGCCTAACCTTGTAGCTGAGTCTTGTAGATTAATAATGTATTTTTAGTTTCACTGTATATTCATGAGTCACTTTGCTATTTTTCCCAAGATAAACAAATCTTTGTCAGTCTCAACCAGGATTTTATTCAGACAAGCTTGACCTTCTCTCACTGGCTGATGACTTGAATCATTGTCCAATTAGAGGGGTCAGTTTAAATTATGCAACAGAGGGAAAGTGGTACTTGCCATCTGTCAGAAGGGGTTATTTCATTAGGGACAGAGCCAGGGTGTCTCTGGCTGGCAGGGTTTGGCACAGCAAAAGACACCTCTGCTGTTACATCCATCATCTGTATCTATTACAGTATGTATGTGTACATGTGAATGTGAATACCTGTATGTGTGCATGTATGTGTTGCCACTGTTACACTGTCATTATTTTATGTCATATTTTAATCCTTTACATTTTTCTACACATAATTGTCCATTTTAATACCAGTGATTTTAACCTAAACTCTTCATGTAACAGCTGCCAAATTGGCTGAACAAACAAATGTTGCACAGTGGTACCAGACCAACCAAGACACCGTTTGTTAACTGGTACTGAAGCATTTCTTCATTAAAAAAAAAGCAAATAACGGCACTGAAGGCCTTTTCTCAAAGGAAGAGATGCTTTCACCCCCCTCCCGATTGGCTTCGGTAAGAGCTTTACTACGTTAAATGGTTCATTGATCTGACTGGTCGAAGTAGGCACATTATAGACGGGGATAGACGGATGGTTTATCCAGTCTCCTGCCAAGAATTATTTTAAAGTGCCAATGAGGACTTTCCAGATGGTTCTGTGTAACGAACCACCAGGCGCAGTCAGGTTCACAAACTGTGGAAAGTGTCAGATCTGCTGCCTGCTGGAACTTGTTTTAGCCAAAACGTACACAGAAAAAATGTTGAATGCCAAGACAAAAGATATGTGTCTAACTTTGTGTGTGTTTCATTGTATTTGTGCTTCAGGCACAAAAGATGTTCACTGTCCCTTCTGCATCCCATTTAGGTGCCCTCCATCTCTGCCCGCTGTGTGTGTCTGGATGTGCTGTCCCTCCTCAGTGTTGGCGCTCTGGTGGCGAGGTGTCAGACAGCAACTTGAGGCCTGTCACTCTTTTAAAGTAGCTTCAGCAGCAGTTAGTGATAACGTTGTGTTTTTGTACAGTTATCAGTGAGGTCCGGCCCCCAGAAACACTTCCTACACATCCATCCTAGCTAGCTAACTAATGAATCTTTGCTCTGTATCGCTAAAAGTTAGAGATTAAAGATTGATTGATGGGTGAATGTCATGATATTATTGGTTGAAACTGGTTAGTTCATGCTTATGTAAGCACGCGTCACATTTTGTTTTACAGGAACAATAAATTATTGGATTTTGATATAAATTTGGTTATTGGTTTGGGTTTGGCATACATTGTTAAATAGGTGTACAATATAAGTGAGGATGCAATCTTAAAGGGTTAAAATTACCAGGACTTTAAAGAATTAAGTCATTTTGTGCAATGTTGCTTGGTGCATATCGACCGAAGTTTTGTGACTTTGTTGCTTCTCTCAGGTTTTGTTCGTCTGTCAGAATCAGTTTTGTTGCTTTATTTTCTTTAAGGAAAATGTGAAAGAAAACATTTTGTTTGTAGGTACTATTTTCCTCTGAAGATTGTCCAAAGGCAGAGTACTGTATTTGCATAGTTTAGGCCTTATGTATATGCTCCATAGCAGTTATATAGCTTTGAACTTAAAATAATTATTTTTCAGTTTCATTGCTTGTGAAATAAAACCTCAAAAGATTTCAATACAACATAAAAAAAAAACTTGTGTGATTCATTTCCAGTGAGGTCTCAGCTTTTTAACCTTCCTTTGGAGAGCTGAGAAAGACGAGTGCCTCAGGGCTACAGTCTAATATTAGTCATGTTTGTCGTAATGCTCCTCTTTGGGAAAATCCACTCTGGGCTGATTATCAGTGTGATCCACTCTACTAGACCTGCAGCAGTGAAAGTGCCATTGCCAGTGTGAAGTCTAAGTACTTGTGCCAACAACAACTCTGTGACCTACTGGAGTTCATACGTGAGGATGTTCTTAGTCTTCTTTAATCTGTGATGAAAATCTTTTCATAAGTGTAGTAGCCTTGAGATTAATGCTGCTGAACTTTTGGCACCCTTGAACCCATTAACACTTATGTAGACACGTATTAAGTACTGTGTGGACACATGCTAAAGGTTGGTAAAATGTACAAGATGTACAGTTAGTGCAGTGGTAGTAACTGTTCTGTATTTAAGGGCTTAAAAGAGTGGAAATGAGATTGGTAGGAAAAACTTCCAAGGTCAACATCAAGCAGAGCAAATGGATTGTAAATTTACAGGGAATAAATTAGATTTACAGTTAACCAATAAAATAAAATATGAAATATCAACATTTTTAAGGCGTTGAGGGTGTATTGGGGTGACTAGGATTCATGACTCAGTACTTCTAAAATCCTACCTGCAGCCTTGCTCATGCTAAGAGATTGCTGCTGTAAACATACACCTCTAAAGTCAGTACTCTCTGTAACTGCTTCCTATTCATGATGCTGTACACCAGTGTGTCCCAGTTTGTAAAACAAAAACACCAACAGGGGGCAGCATGTTGAACTGTCCTGGCAGGAGGCAAAACCACAACAGTTTGAAGTCAGAGAGGAGGGAGACGCTCTGCAGATGCATAAATAACCCATTCAGAAATAAACCTCTTATTTCTCAAGCTACTTGTGCCTAAAAGTTAAAAACCCACTCTCTTTTCTAAACACTTGATAAAGGACAAGTTTCCGCGGATGGATTATGTGAAGTGAAAATCTGAAAGTATGCTGAAAGGATGAAGTTAGGAACCTAGAGCAATGCACTTAAGTATTTTCTCCTCACTATACAGTAGATTGCTTATGGAAATTGGGTGGTTAATGACACACATATGGGTTGGTGTTTAGAAGGTTTTTGATAAAGAGCTGAAAGAAAATTAGAGAGAGTTGAAGAATTAAATGCAGCAAAGATCCATGCTGCACTCAAACAGGGGATATTGTGATTACATGTTCAGTATCTTAAACCCCTTGGTTATAGGATGCCCAGAAACACATCCATTCAGAAGATCTTATGATGGCCAAAGGTGTTGATTTAAGCCAATTTCTGATGATTCAATCTGATTCAAATTCAAAGTACCACCATTTTGCAAGGCACACCGTCTTTTTCCCCACCCTGCAGGCAGACACTGGCCTCTGTTTATTTTTCTATTTGATTTGGATATTAAAAAACAGTTGTTCATTACATTATTGTTGGGAGGCAATGCAGTGTGGACTTTTCAGTTTATCTGCACTTACAACTGCCATATCACACAATGACGACTATGAAGAAAATGCTGACGTGATGGCGATTGTGATGGATTTACCAAGTGTGCAACTTTGATTTCCATAACATAAATACATAACAACATAAATGTAAGGAAACCAAATGTTCTCCTGGATATGTTAAACATACCACACTTTGATTTGCAGAATGATCAGCAATAACATAAGAATATTAATCTGTAGTAGACATGCCAAAACCCGTTTTAGGCTGCCTGACTTAGTTAATAGTCAATAAATCCTCCAAAAATGCACTCTAAATACTCAGGAAAATAGCTGAAAATTACTCTGGATGCTACTTGCTGTGTAAATTATGCTCACAATTTATTCTGTCCTGTGGCGCGTTAACAACCTCAAACTGTGACAACTATGAGAGTCCTACCATTCATAACACTCATCAGTGATCACTTGTCTTTTACATTTAGTTACATACAGAGTTATATTTATGTAAGAATAGAATAGAATAGGGTGTCCTGGTGGTTTAACGGTCTAAGATGCATACTGCAATGTCCCCAGTTTGAT